CCCATCAAGACGCACAACCTCCAAGTATCGGTCGATTTGAGCAACTCTACGAGGTCACAACTTTGGACCAAAGGTGCCCTCGCGGGCGCGGCGCAACCACGTTAAGCAACATCGCTCAACACGTTTCCGCAGCTACTTTCTCTCATTCAAGGGATGGAATGAAACAATGAACCACTCACAGGCGTAGGGTATGACTTTGTCCAGTCTCCTGCAAAGTTTCGTCTATGGATCTTCTCGCAGCGTGGAAAACGATGGGGTTGAGTGAGCCTGCCTTGGACGTGCCGACGCCGAGGGGCTCCGGCTGTAGTCGTCACTGACCGCGGTACCGTCAACTGTTTTTTGTCCGGACTTTTTTTCGTACGGAGCCCCCGGCAACACGTGTGACCAAACAATCCAAGACAAAGTACGACAATCGAAAATGGCGGTCTACGACCATACCGTCATGGCTGTGTCCTGTCATGACCTTCCTCGAGAAAACACCCCGACCCGCCTGTTCCCCAAAGAGGCGCTGGTGGGCCCGGAAGCGTTTTTTGCAGAGGCTGCCCCCGACAACATACGTCCTAAAGCAAGAAGAACCATTTTCCACAGCAGCCAAGCCCCGCGGCATGGCCTTCCGCTCCCATCTCGCTCCCCTTGCGCCCCCCCCTCCCCCCCACTCTCGCTTGACTCCGCCCAACGAGACCCGCGCCTCGAGAAGTCGATAAAAACAACAGGAAACAAACCCTCTAGAGCACCAGAAGGTCATCCACACGTATTCCCATCCTGAGACAGACCTGATTGACCACAAAGTAGGAAAGTGGAATTGCGCGAAGAAAGTGGAGGGAGGGTTACCTCGTCAGTGGAGTCCGGGGATCAAAGAGCGGGGCTCAGCCTCCGGATTGTTGTTGTTGGTGCTTGTCTTCACAATAATATACACCAGCCCCTACGAGTGCCATCCTTGCGAGTGGAGATGACGCGGACGACTTCCGTGGTCACAGTTTGCAAGCCACCTACCCAAAGAGGGTACACTCTAGGACGAAGCAAAGAGAAAACAACAAAGGACCCAGAAACAAACAGCACGAATGCGAAACAGCCCGTCAGGCGTCGACGGCAACATATCCACGCCGGCGACACAACTAAAAAGGAACAGAGCATGAGACAACATGTGTTATAATATCGGATTCAGTACTCCATACATGTACACCGAATGCCCTGGTAGTCGCAGAAAACGAGAGGGAAATGCCGGGCCAAGGCGAAACTTCGGACTGACTTCATGTTTCATCCGCGAGAATTTTCGAGTACATGACGGGGGATGAGGCTCATTGTAAGCGGCAAATGGTGCGTGTGTGCGTGCGTGCATGTGTCAGAGTGGCAAAAACAGATTCCACAGGCAAGATCCTTTGCCGACTCCGCCCCCCCCGTAGCCAAACTACCCCCCAAAGAAAACAGAGTAAAACCCAAGCGCCATCCGCCGTGAAGAGAAACTGGTCTGAGAAAAAAAGTCATCAAAAAATCGATTTGCTTCCGCTAAAAAACACAACACCGAGACTCAAAAAGTTTGAGAACAAAAATCGTTTTTTTGGATCAGCTCGAACTTCTTTTTCGTCGCGTTCCTGAACTCTGTCATTTTCTCGGACCTCGGCAATAGACTTCGTTAGGTCGACACACCGGGGGTAGAGCCACTCGGAAAGTTTGTCAGAAAAAACTATGGGGCGGAGAGGGAGGGCAGAATTTTTCAAAAAATGCCAAAACCTAGAGGGAAGCGAAGTTTCGGCACAGCTGTCAATCGATGGAAAAGCCAAAATACGAGTTTCTACTCGCAGATTCGTCTTCCTCGACCCAAACTTACCTTTCACTGAAACTCCTGCCTCTTAGGGACGGGTACAAAGTAGAAGTAGTACATGTTAGGGCTTTCGCCCCATTTCCTCCCTTTCCGCCTCCTCGGGCACAGCTGTAACTCTGCTCCAACATGTGATACCAAAACTCTGACAACGGATTCGCGCTCCCCAGACCTGCAAACCCGGCCGCACCTGCTCACTTTCCCACTTCTTCAGCACCTAAGCTCGGCGTCGGTGTACGAGCCAATCCGACCCATGAACGTGCTCGCGCTTTATGCTTCCATGAGATCTCGGAAAGCCTGGCACACCTTTACCTTGCCACGGGGGGTGTCGTAGTCCGACTAAATTCAGCTAACCACGGCCTCGATCTCGGCCGAGCGCACGTATTTCTCCTGGGATAGGTAACAACGCACATGAACGAACGGATACAGGGTTTGAATTGGAACCCAGAGGTTGTAAATACTCGACTACGTTTTCTGGCCGGAACCCAGCAAAAACTCATTCGCGCTGCCCCTTTGGCTAACAGTTGCGAAAAATAGATAGGTAGAAAAAGGCAAGAAGTTGATAAGGGCATCGGCCAGGTGAAGCGAACAAAACCAGAACACGTTCAAGTCCACGAGAGGCACCAACCATCGAGTTGGCGTCTGTGAATATTTGTGCGAATAACAGGCTGAAGATGCTGGACAAGATCCACTTTTGCATTCCAGTCAACCAGTAATGATATCTCCGAACGGCCACGCGTTCGGCGGGAGAAGCTGCGCAGAGACAACCACCCGGAAGCAACTGCGGGCCCGTCGTCATTGCACCCTCATGGCACTGAGTTAATCATGCGGCCGCACTTGTTCTGTAAATCGAGNTACACGAGAGGGGAGGATCCCGTAACAAGGCTGGATGCGCATGCGGTCAATTCTACAATACAATGGCGGCGGACGCGGGGGGCTGCCGCCCCGCCCCTGCCCCCTCTCGCCCCCAATTTGAGATTGTACGTGCATATGAAGTAGTATATAATGTGATCGAGGTACATGGCCGTTCGTTATGGTGCAGCACTTCAAGTGCAATTGACTCGGTATACAGCACTACTACTACTACAGTCGCAAGCGACGCGACGGACGAATCATGCCAGCCTCTGCACCGTGTGACTGTTTTTCGTACCACATCAGCATCGGACTCACGCCCATCGCCTCGGTTTCTTGGTTTTACGTATAACTTTCGAGATTTCGTTTGCACCGTTCGAATGTACGGAGCAATGGTGCACATGAGTGTCAGGAAAATCGTGCGTCGAGACCACCAGTGGTCGGACACGGTTTGACCTTTGAATACGATTGCAGCAACTAGTCTGCGTAGCAGTAGAAAAGTATCCATCTCTCCTTGGCATGTATTCTCTTGTTCTAGAAATATTCCGGAAGCATGCTAGGTCAAGGTTGACCGGGACATCTATGTAGAACGTGTGTAGCTTCTGGAAGCCTTCTGGAAACTTCTGGTTCCTCCTGTAGCCTCTGGAAGTCTTTCTGGAAACTTCTGGTTCCTTCTGTAAGCTTCTGGAAGCGTTCTAGATCTAGGTTGCAGTTGATACTCTTCTAGAACGTAGGAGGGCTTCCAGAAATCATTCTGGAAGCATTCTGGATCTTTCGTGTGATTGGCTTATTTGTCCGGTATTCGAGAAGAGTGGTGCAGCCCTAAGCTCGCCCACTCCTCTCACTCCTCTTCAGTACCAGCAACATCTGACTCGGGAGTCAGCAACTAATAAAAGCATCTTCATATTTCCATTCCAAGTCTCTCGCGGTTGGAGACGCACAGAGTGTGAACCTCTGAGGTAGGCTACACAGCCTCCTGGCATCTGCAGCATCGTACTGCTGCTAGTGCACAGCGAAATATCGCTGACAGGTTATGAGCTTCGGCTAACGCACACACTACGAGCTGCGAACATCACGGGAAGATCAAGGCAACCTCTTCTCGGGGCATCAACCTTCATCCTTGGACAACGAGAGAACCTGGTTTCGGAGATTTCTGGAGATTGCGACGCCGTCATCGGTCAACGGCAACACAAGCAGACGCGCAAACTTGGTCATCTACACCAAGGTGCTAAGGGTTCACGTCGTATACACACGTTACCACCCCTGTGGCAGTAGCGGGTACCTCTGTGGTGAACTAGCAGCAAGGGTCACGTGCGCGGGAGTTTTGGGCGGCATACGCATCGGGTGTACAAGGAACCTCACTGTATCATCAGTGGAGGCGATCAACACCCGGAGTCCTCTATATTAGTAGCAGGAACGGGATGGGGAAGTCTCGGGTACAGGCAGTAGTACCACGAGCAAACTTACTCCTACAGCAGGAAGTACTTTTATCAAGACGAAGAAAATAAAGCTGGAACGAGCAATGGATACTGCAACGAGCAACACAGGAGGTGGAAGCGCGTTCGCCAGCGATAGTTCTACGAACCTGGCAACCGTGATCAAAGGCCTCAAGAAATTCGACGGAAAGGACCCAGCTGAGTTCAAGACATGGATGAAGAAATTCTGCGTGGTGTTAGGTGTGACCAGGAAGGACATCCTGCCACTGCTGAAGAAACAAAGGAAGCCAGATCCCGCAGACACAGCGGCCTTCGACTCCTACACAAGGGCAAACGAAGATATCTACGCCATTCTTTTCCTTCTAGTAGAACTTCCAGCCGCCTTGTCGATACAGAAGCACGAAGCGACATTGGCATCAGCGGCGACGGACAAGCTGCCTTCGAGGAGCTCTGCAACAACTATGACAGGGTAACGGACGAGGTCATCAGGGCGAAGATGGAGGAGCTGGAGAACAACCCCATGAACCCTGGTGAAAATCCCGACGACTACTTCAACCAGAAGCACCTACTTCGCACCCAGCTGGATAAGATGGGAGAACCCATCTCCGACCGCCGCTTCAAGGACATCTGCGTACAGGGCTTCTCCGACGAATACAAGGACGTCAAACTGATGGTGTTCAGAGACCCAACCTTCAACGTCCTGGACATGCAATCCACCATGCGCAACATCTTCTTGGACGAACAATCGCGCAAGGGATGGAAGGGACGCATAGCTGGTCGAGGATTTGCCATGGCAACGACCGCGTCTGACATCATCTGCCACAGCTGCTACGAGCCGGGGCACATCAGGAGGAACTGCCCCAAGATCAAGAACAGGGCGAAGAAGAAAACGAAGCCCGCCGGAGCTACCAAGTGGTGCTCCAAGCACAACACCACGTCTCACTCGGACGAGGAATGCTACCAGCAAGGAGGAAAGCGCCCGGAAGACACCAAGGACTCAAGTAAAGCATTCACCGCGTGCTCCAACTGCACTCACTGCTCGTCGGCGTCCAACAAGCACGACTCAAACAATGAAGTGGCAGTTGTCGACTTCACCCGGGACGAGGACGCCTTTGACAGCGGCTTCATGTTCGGCACGTGTTCCCGCATCTCAGGACGCAACTTCGCCGCGAGCTCCACCGGGGTAGGCCTGCTGGTAGACACGGGAGCATCGGAGACCATGTTTGACAATCGCCTCATCCCCGACGGAAACCTCCACGATTACACCCAGCGAAACTCTCCAAAGATCGTGTACGTGGCCGGAGAAAGACAACTCAAAGGCACGGCCACGGGCATCCTACACTGCACCGTCAAGGACAATCGAGGACAGCAATTGCGCGTGCCAATTCAGGGACTCATCGTTCCGGGACTTGGTCGCAACATTTTTTCGCCCACCTCCCTCCTGAAAAAGGGATTGCGCTGCGTCGTCGAAGAGAGCACTCCGCACCTCACTATCCAAGACAAGGTGATTCCACTCACACAAGATCCGCGAGACCAAGGCATGTGCACCCTCGACATCACGTTCGAGCAGAACGTCCAGCCATCTGGCACGAAATCCCTCGTGCCCCACCAGAAGCAGTCACAGACCCACACGGCGAACGCCGTCTGCTTTACGCTTGTGAGTGCGGACACCTGGCACAGGAGGCTTGGACATCTCAATGCTCGGAGCCTGGACATCCTTCGGAAGGACACGGGTACCGGGGTGGACTATCGCGACAGTCTCTCCCCTTGCGGGGTCTGCCAGATCGCGAAACACAAGCAGTCCCCCCACCCGAAGCAATCGACTCGCGAACTATCACGGCCTGGACAGCTTGTGGTCATCGACAACATGGGGCCTGTTAATCCACCTGCGAAATATAAAGGAGGCTCCTTCCCGTACGCGTGCAAGATCACCGACGACTACACGAAGATGAAAGAAGTGTACCTGCTTCGCAAGAAATCTGACACGACCGAGGCGGTGCACACGTACAACATGTGCGTCGCAGCGGCAGGAGGCTACCGGATCGAGACCATCCGCTGCGACAAGGGAGGCGAGAACACCGGATCCGAATTTCGGGACTACTGCAAGAATTCAGCTATCAAGCTCGAGTACGCCGCCACCAACACCCCTCAACAAATTGGTGGATCGGAACGGGACGGACAAACCCTGGCCGGAGTCACCCGGTGTCTTCTGAAGGATGGAGATTTTCCGCCGTCCATGTGGGGGGAGTTAATGCTGACTGCAGCATACCTGTTGAACAGGTCCCCACACTCAGCACTGGGAGGAGCTACGCCATACTCGAAGTTGCACAATAAGTCACCTGATCTCTCGGGACTTCGGGTCATTGGAGCGCGCGCCTTCGTACACCACGAGAGATACCGAAAGAAGCTGGACGACAGAGCTTTCGAAGGCAAGCTATGTGGTTTCGGCCTCGACAGCCAGACCTACCGGGTATTGAATCCATCCAACGGGGCCGTGGTCGAGAGCCGGAATGTGACTTTCATCGAATCTCCACCCCGCTCAGTGCCCTTCCAGTATTCCACTGAAGCAAACGGGTACGAGAGCGACGTGCTGAGCTTCACCTCCCTGCTGGACAGCCCCCACTCGACGAGCGACCTGGACTTCACGGCGCAGAACGAACTCCTTCGGCAAGAAGTCCGGAAGATGCAGCAAGACAATCTCGCTCGGGAGAAGCTTCGCCTAGAACTGGACGGGCACGAGGACGAACATGGAAACGGGCAAGATCTCGGCGACGGGGACGCTCCATCACCACATCTCCCATCGACGCCAGCTGGATCGTCATCCGAGACCCACGCATCTAGCCCCAGTCCATCATCGTCGAACCCGACTGAACCGGACACTTCTGCATCAACTGGATCCTCCGGCATGCGGCGCCTGCAAGTCACCAGAGCCAGCACGCGCGGGAAGCCCACCAGCAACGATCATATCGACGTCAACTTGGTTCCTGCCAATCTGGAAGTCACCATGAACGACCGCGGTCAAGCCCATGCTACAACGGGCCGCGTGGAGCCATCCGGTCTTTCCTTCACTCAGCTGGCTGAGATAGCCTATCAAGCCCAGCTCCCATGCCCTGGCGATACTGAGGATTTCACCCACGTTGCGGAAGACCCCTTCACGGTGCCGCGTGCTCACGCCTACGTCACGACCACTCACGAACACCACGGGATCTTGGAGGAGACGAATCAAGCGATCAAAATCCCCAACACCTACGACGAAGCCATGAGCTCTCCCCAGCGCGAAGAATGGAAAGGAGCGTGCAGCAAGGAAATGGACAATCTGCGGAAACACAACGTCTACAATCTGGTGCCCCTCAGCAGCGTTCGCAAGGGAGAGAAGATCCTCGGAACGAAATTCGCCTTCAAGAAAAAGCTGGACGGACGCTTCAAAGCTCGCCTGGTAGTCGGAGGACATCGTCAAGAGCCAGGACAGGACTACGGACGCAGCTACGCACCAGTATGCCGTATCGGGAGCATTCGCATGACGTGCGCCATTGGCTGCCACAACAACTGGCCCATCTACCAACTGGACGTTGTCGGTGCCTTCCTGAACGCCCTCTGCGACAGAGATGTGTACGTCAGACCCGCCCCCGGTACATCCGCCAAGAACTCCGCGACGGGAGAACCCATGGTGTACAAACTAGAACGGAGCCTCTACGGCCTATCGCAGTCGCCTGCGCTCTGGAACGACACCCTGGACGAATCCATCACGGCGTTCGGATGGAAAAGGACCCAATCCGACCCCTGCGTGTACGCGTATACCAGCGGCAACATCATCGTGATTCTCACGGTCTACGTAGACGACATTCTCATCACAGGAGGAGACCAGCAGCTCGTGGACCAGAAGAAGAAGGAGCTCACGGATCGATTCGAGATGACCGACATGGGAGAGGTAAAGCGGATCCTCGGGATCGACGTGCAGCGAGACTACGAGCAAGGAACCCTGGCCATTTCACAGGAGCACTACGTGAACACACTTCTGGAGCGGTTCGGAATGCAAGAGGCCAACCCAGTGAGCACTCCTGGATACGGAGCGGAAATCTCC